ATTTCCCCTCAACTCCAGAGTTACATGCATCCTCCAGTCTGGAAGAATGAACAAGTTAGAAAAGCCAAATTCTTATAAGAAACTGTGAGGAGGATGTGTTTTACCAAGAAAAGGCCATTAGGGGGAGCCTGTGTGTCCCACTTTGGGGGTTGTAGTGACAAAACTCCAGGTCAGAAGGCAATGGTGTAGCTACCACCACCATATTCCCAGGTGCCAAAATCCTAGAAGCCTGCAGACTTGGGAATGCAACTCAGATGGACAGTCCCCAGAGGAAACACAGGGGGCCATGCTTAGGTATCCAAAGCCTGACAGCTCAGCCCTGCACAGTGCACCTGTCCAAAAGTCCAGCTTTGCACAAGGAAAGGGTAATGCTGTGTGAAAATGCCTAGCTCTTATGCAACAAGGAGCATTGCATGCCTATCAAATGTTATCATACTATTTTATTAGGGATTTTTATTCCAGATTTTGTCACTAATAATTTGATGCTTTTTTTTTTTTTTAGCCTGTGCTTTATAAATTTAATATCCAGTTTGTGTGTTCTTTTAAAAAGAATATAGTATTTAACAAAGTATATTTGGGACCTGAGGTGAATAAAATATTGGGTTTTTTTTCCTCATTTTCCATCCAGGATGGTATATTATGTTGTCAAATATTAAAATGTATTCTAAAACATTGAAAATTATAAAGTGTGGTATTGGCAGAGAAAGTGACAGATCAATGGAACAAAATAGAAGTATGTGAACAAACCCAAACATATGTAATCATTAAATGTAGGAAAAGGAGATTTAAATCACTGGCTAAACCACTATGAAAATAAGTTGGCGCCCCATCTCATACTTTATAATACAATAAATTTCACATTAATATTTTCATATAAAAATAAAATTTTAGAAGAAAATAGAGCTATGGAGGTGTTTTCTAAGTCATATCTCCTTTTTATCAAATAAAACGTTTAAACATTCTGTATGTCCATTTTATAAACAAAAAAGACCACACATATGACTAACAAGAATGCATAACAGGCTCATAAATCAATAAGAACATAGTGAATAACCCAACAGAAAATGGCCTGAGGACATCAGTGCCAGAGAAGAAATGCACATATTGCCTTATGATATGTTAAATTCATAATTATAGATTATATTCTTCTCTCTATGCTTTGTATCCTTTCTTTAGACATAGTCATCTACTCTTTTGTCCTAGTTGTATCTTTATAGTATGGTTTTCGATGGGATAGCCAGATACCCTTGTATTTTCTTTTCAAGGTTTCCTTCACCATCCATGCCCTTTTATTCTTCCAAATAAACTTTTTTTTCCCCAAGTTCTTTAACCTTCTTGGAATTTAAGTTGAAATGACATTAAACCTACAACTTGAGAAAGAATTGACAGGATTATAATGTCCCGTCTTCCTACTCTGGAGCACAGTATTTCTCTCCATGTATTGAGATCAAGCTTAAAACTTTTTCCCCCCATAATGTGAATTATTTTAGACCAAGAAAAGCATACACATTGTCTCTCCATTTGGCAACTTTGTAATACCCTTCCCCCCCCCATGTTGTGTTTTTATTTTTGTATTGAAATTCAGTTGATTAAAACAACGCTTTCATCATGTCATTCCCCTGCTTAAAAATCCTTCCTGGCAGTCTTCTACATCTGTTTCTCAAATTCTTTTCCAGCTTCCTCTGCACAGACTCCCTCCCCCTTCAGGATCCTGGTTTTCTGGCCCCTGGTCAAACCTCTTGACCTTTTCCCACATCGCTACATAGTCTCCAGTGTCCCTCCCACCGCCTCCCCCCTTTCTGTCTGTCTCCAGGTTGTACCAGCTCAAGGCCCATGTCCTTGACAACACCCCATCCCACAGGGGAGCACTGTACTCCCCTCGATCCATAGCATGTATTGTATTTTCCACTCAGCAATCATATTCCTTTGTGGCATTTATCCTGTTATTTTATTTTCCTTATTAGCATTTGATCTTATTTTGTTAGCTTCTTTCAAGCAACAGTTCTGTCTCCTGTTTCTTTGTGTCCTCTGCTGTGCAGTTCTCCACAGTAGCCACTCACTACACATGGCTATGAGCACTTAAAATGTGGCTTATTTAGTTAAGACACACTCAGCACAAAGTACACCAACCTTCAAAACTCAGTACTAAAGAATGAATTAATTATGTCAATTAAAGTTTGAAAGGATAATATTTTGCATACATTTAGTTGAATAGAGCCTGTTATTAATTAACCCATTATTTAATGGGTAAAATTAATTTCACCCATTTCTTGATGCTTTTTTTTACAATGCTCCTAGAAATTTTTTAGCTGTAGGTCACATTTGCGGCTCACATTATGTTTCTGTTAGCACCCATCTAGAGTGCCCAGCAAAATGACTCTCCTACCAAAGGTGCTCCCAAATTGGTGGTGGTTTGAAATGAATGAAAATGAGGTTTTCTCTCAGTCATTTGAGGTTTTTCTCTCAGTCTCAACCCCTTTTTCTTGATTGGTGGGGAGCAGAGGGACTACATATTTTTATCTTCAGTAGTTAGGACCCAAATCCAGGAAACAGAAATTAAAGAAGAAACTCATCTGAGGGGCACCTGGGTGGCTCAGTCAGTTAAGCTTCTGACTCTTGAGTTCAGCTCAGGTTGTCATCTCATGGTTCATGGGATTGAGCCCTGCGTTGGGCTCCACATTGACAACGTTGAACCTGCTTGGGATTCTATCTCTCTCTCTGTCTGCCCCTTCCCCACTCACTTTCTGTGTTCGCTCTCTCTCTTTCTCTCTCTCTCTCAAAATAAATAAATAAACATGGGGGGGGGGGAGAAGATTGTGAGATAAATGCTGCTCCAAAGCACAGTCTTCTAAGGGCACCTGGGTGGCTTAGTCAGTTGAGCATCTGACTCTAGATTTGGCTGAGGTCATGATCTCATAGTTGTGAGATAGAGCTCTGCATTGGGTGTGGAGCCTGCTTGAGATTCTCTCTCATTCTGCCTCCCGCTTGCACTCTCTCAATCTAAAATAAAAATAAATAGATAAATAACCTTTTTTAAAAAAAGTGCTGTCCTATGATTTTGTGAAATGCAAGATCTAATTTCAGAGATTTTGTTTTGTTTTGAATAACAAAAACAACTTTTAGGAACAACTTATAGGAACCCCTTAAGTGGTTAACCTCATCTAAATTTATTTTGTTTTTAATTTTTTTAACATTTATTTATTATTGAGAGACAGAGACAGAGCATGAGCAGGAGGGGGGCAGAGGGAGAAGACACACAATCTGGAGCAAGCTCCAGGCTCTGAGCTGTCAGCACAGAGCCTGACGCAGGGCTTGAACCCACAAACCACAAGATCATGACCTGAGCTGAAGTTGGAGGCTTAACCGACTGAACCACCCAGGCGCCTCAACCTCATCTAAATTTAAAACTGTCATCATTAAATGGTAAAGTAAGTCCTTGTTTCAAAACTAAAAGTTGAAGATTAAAAACACAAATGTGTTCTAATACAGAAAACCAAATCAAAAAGAGGATGAGCATTGGAAAGGGCAAAAAAAAAATTGTTAAATGGATGCTTGTGGCCAAATGAATAGCAAACAAATGGGAAGGTTACCTCTCACTGACATGCCAGTGGGGTTTTGAGAACAGATGGCTTCTTTCTCTCTCTCTGTTTATTCTTCCCTTTTCTTCCTAGCTCTCCTTCTCTTAGTTCCTCTCCTTTCTTCCATTCCTTTCTTTAAAAAAAAAAAAAA